ATTCGCTAATTCAATGGAAGAACTGGAGGATTTTAACAATTTTGTAAAAATATAACTCTTAGATAGAAATTACCGCCAAGAAAAATGATATTAACTGAAATGAAATACATATCAAAATATCGAAAAAATGGATGCACTTGCTCAGTGTTGAAAATGAAATAAGCTCTCTATGAGGCAGATAGCTGTAGAAAGGCGAACTCTACCACAAACTTTCGAGTTCAGGAAAAAACATCAAGGTAAACAGAACAACTAGAATCAGTTATCTTTGTTGGCATTCTCACGAATTCTTATAGCCGATTGCGCGTCCTGATACGACATGCCCAAGCGAATACGTCGTCGAAGCATATGATTGCCAGATGACTGGACCAAAAGCTTTGTCCTGTAAAGACACCTCAGCCAACTGTACAGTCAAAGATTTTATACTATCCTAGATGTTTGAAAATTCTAGAGCAGCGCGGTCGTGCGGTCCCAACGCTGGCTTAATTGGAGAACCACAGTTCACGATTATCGGCAGAACTGGCTGTGTTGACAAAGAAAGCTCTAGAGAATCGCGACAGTTAAACCACACTGCGATTTTGTAAACGGTACTAGGATTCTTAAACAGCTTTCTCCACCCAAAAGAGAAAATTGGTACTAGTTTTCATACCCGATACTAGTACTGTATCACCACAACAATTTGCATGAGTCCCATTGTGTACAGAATCGGTCGAAGCTGCAACCTTACTCTGAATAAATTAGAACCAGGGAAAGAAACTGAAAAATTAGGGATAATTCGGATACGTAATCCTTTTTCCCACGTCTCCTAGCCTCTCATCGATACTCGTAAAAGCTACAAGAAATATTATTGAGAAAAAAGGTCGTTCGCTGCGCTTCAGTATTCAATTAAATGTCAATACTTACGAGCATAATTGGCCAATCAGTGAAATGAGTACCGACTCAACTAGCGGCTGAATACCTTCAAGGCTCGTGGCAAACGACAAGTACTGGGCATGAAGCTCAGCGAACGAGAAATCCTCCCTCTTTTCTGCCTAAATCAAAACATTTCTGCAGTTACAAAATTTGGCAGAATTCAACAAAAAAAAAAAAAGAAAAAGGGCCGAAATCGAAGAAAAAACTGGAACATACGAGTGATATCGCCGAACGGAAAAGCAGTAGAGACCGTGCTTAGACAGCCCCTTCACAAAATGCACAAGCAATGTAGAAGACGCCTCGCGGGTTGCAGAAAGCACCTAGATCCAAATAAATTGGTAGAAAAATCGCTAGGAAATAGGAAAATCACTGAAGAGATGAAGAGAAGTCTCACATGCTCAACAAGGAGCTTCTTAGAGCCTTGCTCAATCGCGATCTCAATCGCACGCCGCAAAAGATCCATCGCTTTTCGTAGATCACCGGTGACAGCAGCGACCTTTAAAAGTATACTTTGAGATTTTTAGGGGGCACGATTTATCAGAGGGCAAAATTTAAGAGGTAAGCTAAAGAGATTCATCTCTGACACAACAAAATTCCAACTGAAATGTTGACCTTTCGGGCAGCAAACTGCACAGCGCCTTCATCGATGGCATTGACAGATCCTTTGAGTCGATCACGAATAATACATTCTATCTGTTGGAATTCATATGGTTGGAAGCAAATTCGAGCAGCACCCTTAAAATACACAGAAGAGCTTTAGAAAAGTCAAAAATATGATGCCAGTACTTAAAATGGAAATGGCTGCAATCTGGTGACAGTAACAAAAAAGGTTACTGGTAAGATAAAATGATAAACCCGTGAAGTAAAAAAAAAACTCCCAAACTTACAATACGGCTCGTGATGCGCTGGCTCAACATTCGTTCCGGCAGATCAAGAGTGTTCGCTATAGCCATCACAGACACACGCGCTGACTCAATAGTCGTCCAGTTGAATATATCATATATAAGCTGGAAAAAAGCATTTACAATTACTCTTAGTGGTCCATTGATGAAGATAACTCCAAGTCTGGACAATCGAATAACCTCTTGCTTCTTCGTGCAAAGTTGATCCAGCTCATCAACGAGGATAACTATTGGTGGACGGTGTTTATCGGACAATTCGAACATTCTGTTGAGTTTCCTGCGTGCCGATTCAGCAGAAATACGCTTCACATTGTCAGTAATTCTTGAAAAAATCCAGTTTTTGTTTATGATGCAAATAACATCTGTTCAGTGCTTAGAGTCTTCACAAACTTGAAAGAACGTACTGGTTATAGATTGCAATGAAGATCTTTTTAGGTTCCACAAATTCCATAGCATTAACACAGACGAATGAAAACTTATTACAAGTTTTGTCCTGACTTAGCTGCTTGACTACCTGCAAAAAACCACATTTCCTTTCGCTAACAATTTTTTTCAAGCATTATAAACTGACTATTAAGAGAGTCAGGAGTGTTACGACCTTCCTAACTCTGGACCAATTTAGAGTAATAAGAGTGCAGTCTATAGAGACACTGCACTGCATATCTCGCAGGCACACTGTCAACTCCACTTACCAGGAAAGGCATTCAACTTCCCATGGAACTTTGAATTGAGACCCACATATATGGATAGAGCTTTAAACGCTGATTACAAACATCTGAGCCTAAAATGAAGCCAGGAAGTTGTGAGCAGTCAAAGTTGGCTCCAAGTTAAGCGTTACGTATTAACCGTGCTAGCCTCCGGGCTTTCAGAATCGCCGTGGAGTAGTGGTAGTGCTCTCGAAATTTGCACTCCAACGGAAGAGAACTTATGACCTCCCGGGTGAGAGCGAGGGCACTACCACTACTCCGCGGCGACTCTGAAAGCCTGGAAATAGCACGGTTCATATGTAATGCTTTACTTCAGCCAACTTTGACTGCTCACAACTTCGTTGGCAGTCTCTCGAGATATCTGGGTCTCAATTTGAAGTTCCATGGAAAGTTGAACGCCTTTCCTGGTTAGTTTCAGACCTTCACAATGCAATTATTGCTCTTAAAATTATAACGGAACGCCTCGCAGGAAACATTCGTATGGCGAAAGAACTCTGTTCTATCGAAGACAAAGATGGAAAGGAGAGGACTAAAAAGATGTAGTGTTGCGCCGTTAACGGAGCATTATCCACTGTCCGCGCTCTTCTCGATCAATGGTAAAGCCATGGGTGACGAGTGAACCGAACGAGTTTATAACAAAACTACTACGAAATACATCTTTGTACCGCTTACCGACACTACTGTGGCAGTTTTGCCAGTACCGGGGACACCACTGATATACATGGCGCTGCTTGTTCCTCTGGGTGATACTGCATTACGTATGAACTTCTCGACTTCAGCTGCTTCCTAAAACGAACTTGCCAACAGTAAAATTTATTTGAGAGGAAGCTTAACCTTGCGACCTGAGAAATCCCCGCAAACTATGAGTTTGCGGCACTGGTCGGCAATTCTAACACCTTGCTTATTCAGTTGGGAAAAAAGATAAACTCGTGTGGAAACTAAATCAGAAAACAAAACCTCCCTATCGACGAAGCTGCGCTCATGAACTTCAGAAGTGTGAAGGCGTGCGACGGAAATCTCCAGTTTTCCACATCGAAGCGAATGGCGGACTTAAAACAATCTGACCGCGGTTTGCACAAAAACCGCCTGTACCTTATATAAAACAAACTCGAACGGCTCATGTCTTGATTTCCGTTGCAATGCTCTCGCTTTTGTTAGGGCTGAGCCACGCACTCACATTTGTGAATCGAATTGTTGGTCGCGCTATGGATTTTTTCCCTGAAATTTTGATTTTTTGTACACTTTATTGCCCAGAAAGTTCAACAAGAACAAACTTTTGCTGTCTCTGCCGCTCTAATAGGTCATCATCGTCATCTCAGTTTGCACGTCGCACTCCTCACTTTCGTCGCTTGAGTAATCTTCTCCCGAAGAGGATTCTTCAAGTTCTCCTGCATCGAATGACGATCTCGATTAGTTTTCCGAGGTGTTTTGTTTAGTTTGCAAAAAACCGGTACCACTCGAGCAGGGGGACGTTTGATACCCCATGGGCTTTCCTAAACAAGGAAGTGATCTCTCGTTACCTTCAAAAGAAAAGAACATATGCACTTACAGGGCCGACTGTACGATATGCGACACCACCCTTCTCGTCAAGAAGAACAGCTCGCAAGCGTGTTTCCATCACTGTAAATATATAACAATCTTCGCTGTTAACAAACAAAATTAACAATCTAACCATAAAAATCCACAGTAATCTGTTTGAACTCGTGCCCTGATTACAATGACACAGCAGGGAAACCATGGCGGCAACTCATCACAAATCCAGCTTTGAAAACCTGATTCTCATACATATGAACCCTATCCCACTATGAAGGATAGCATTTTCAAGAAATCAAACGAAAGGCCAAAATTCAAAGCTGGACTGCATCTTGAGCACAGGATGCTGAATTTAGAAGTGAAAGATGATCCGGGATGGGTGGGCTAAACTAAGCCATTTTAATTAAATAATGTATGCTATACGAAGTTATTACGATAGAAACCTAGAAGTATAATGAATTGCCGAAGAATTAAAAAATTAAATTTGCAAACAATAAACTTACGGGCATCAGACATGCGTCCGATGGAACTTGCTTGCATTTCGGCGCAGTAATAGCTGGAGATCGGTATCTGTAAGCATTCTGTTGAGCACTGAGCCAAAAATAAGTTGCCGCAAAAGTTGGAGACCTACCTGACAGTAGATTCGCATATCTTTGCAACATCGTCGAACCTCTTTATCTTCATCCTTAACGGAGTTCTAGTGCACGGTTGCGCAGAAACGTTTTGGACCTACAATTATCACACATGTAACTCACAAATTCTTCAACCTACGTGTTCGAAAAAGTACAAAATCAAATGAAATATTTAAGACTCACCCCCTTAACACTCCTTTTAGGTAGGCGCCGACCAACAGTATCTCCAGCAGGCGGGACGTTCTCGTCATTCTCAGTTTCCATAGAGTCGACTGCTGGCTAAAAACATATGAGTACAGCAGCGTAGAATCCAAAAATTGAAGTGCAAAAATAATCGAAACACTAATATCGCCGCCAGATACTCGCAAGCGAGATTATAAGAAGCCATACTCCAAAACAGCAATGTCTGGTTCCTGGCCAAGGAGGCCCTCATCCGAATCGGAGACCCCGAGAAACGAGATACAGCGAAGGTAAGAAGAACGAACCTCACGGCGTGATGGTTTTGATGCTTTTTCGTTCAAGATTAAGCGACGAGCTGCACGAGGTGCTCTCAGGTTCGGTCCGCGATTCTCGTCCACCACTTCACCCGGAGATTCAATCACTAACGCACCAGCCTTGTCGAGTTAAAAAACAACACTCCAATAAATATAAAGAGTCATACACAAAAGAGTGAGACACTAACCAGGGGCGGTATTCAATCCTTCCCCCAGGGGGATATATCCCCCTACTCTGATTCAATCCTCTGGGGGACAAAAAAGGGTTGCGTCATAGGACCTAGCATACCTCTGTGTTTCTACCTGCCAGACAGTTAGAGCAGCGCGACCCCTCAGGGAAAAGAGTGCTTCATCAGTGGAGGGTAGTCGCGGTGCTCTAACTGTCTGGCAGGTAGAAACACAGAGGTATGCTAGGTCCTATGACGCAACCCTTTTTTGTCCCCCCAGGAATTGAAGAGGATTGAATCAGAGTTGGGGGATATATCCCCCTGGGGGAAGGATTGAATACCGCCCCAGGTAAACCACTTGCGATGCGCATTTTCTTTGAAATCTTTGTAGCAGGTGTCTCTGTCAAATTTCGCTTCTATTCGCATGACGCTTAGGAGGGGAGAAAAGCTGCTCCGTGTATCCATCGACTTCACTGAGGACTTTAGCAGTCCGTGGTAACGATCTTCGACCTTAAACAATACAAACTATAGATGTAAGTAACGGGAGGAGTAGCAGCTGATCCTTGAAAGGATAGCCACAGTTGTATTATTGCTAAGCCCCTCCAGAACAACATGCGACACCACAATCAATGTTAGGCCGAAACTCAACCCAATACACCGAACACATCCTTCCATGTACGGCTATCAGGCCCTGACGGACTAAACTTTTCATTGATTCCTGCAGTAACTCACATGTTGCAACAGACCTTAAACAGTATTCTGTGGCGCCCAACCGCAAATTGGCGACAGTTTACGCCACTTCGAGCACCAATCGCACTAAATGTCATTCGAAATCGTTGCAGTAGGGTCACCTCCACCCGCCTATAATGCCTTTACTCTCCACCCACGTGATGGAGTCGCGCGCCAAAAATGGTACTCACAACACCATCAATGAATACCACAACTGACTGGGATGAGCCAGTCAAAGTGGTATTCATCTCTGTCTATGATGATAGATACAGCTTCAGCGGATTTTTTCTTGAGATCTTTCAATCGTAAATGTTCAGTATCGTGAATTTGGCATTAAGATAGTCCCTGAACTTCTTCATAACACTGCTTGCAACGACATGCAAAAGAAAAAACTCGGAGGAAGCAGGAAGAGGAGTGAGAGCCGCAGCGCACTCGTTGTTCTGATCAAGAACTAGTTGCATCTAGCTCACCATATCTCGTGTTTGATCACACTGAACTGAAGAGTTGTTGGGGAGGAGGGTGGCGCATCGTGGCGCACAGCATATAAGGCACTTGAAACATTTTTGTTTTTATACTCATTAAGACCGCTCTTGCACAGGGAAAATGGTCCTCAACTCACTGTACTGTTCCCCTTAAAATTGTATTACTGTTGCCCGTGAGAACCATAAGAACCCTTACGCCACAACGCCCCTTCCTTCCCTTTCCCCCCTACAAAACTACCCCTGCATTTTGAACTGAATTAACCACACCATTCAATTCCAACTGAGTGAATCCCGAACCGATCAACGACAAAAGCCTTCCCGTAAGTTGCCTTGCCAAATACTTTGTGCTCTGTTTCAGATCTCGAAAACAAGCAATCTTAAGCATGCTACTGCACTCACCAACGGAATTTGTACGTCTTGTCTCCTTCAATGGAGTATGAGAGACTGCAGCTGCTGTGGACGTCTGCCTAGGCCTTAGCGCATTTCTCGTCGCCATTCTACAATGTTATAAGGATCACGACACAGGAACAGAAGCTAGTGCTTCAAAATAAAAGCGCTTATAAAATTAGAAACCAAAATTGTTGAATTGGCGGCAAAACGTGGCTGATCCACGTCACGCAATATTGCGGCAACTCCAGCCTACCGTAATCGTTTGAGCAGGCGCACGTGCCCGCAGC